AGGAACCACTGGGCCGCCAGGAAATAGCCATCAGAGAGCCTCAGGAGGTACCAAGACGGAAACAACAGGAAGAAGTTGTGGTAAAAACGGAGCCATCCGACAAGGAGATCCAGACATTCCTGGAAGACCAAATACTGGTGTTTGAAAAATTGAAGGGATGCCGTACGATCGCAACGCACACAACATACATGAAGGATGAAAGACCGGTAGAGCAACATTATTACCCACGCAACCCCAAACAGCAGGCCATTATAGACGAACAAGTGGATGAACTTTTGGACCAGGGACTAATAGAACCCTCGCGTAGCTCGTACTGCGCGCCGGTAGTCTTGGTACGGAAGAAAAACAACGAATGGAGAATGTGCGTGGACTACCGATTGCTAAACGAGAGAACGGAAAAAGACGCGTACCCGGTACCTACAATGAATTTTATATTCAACAAACTCCGGGAAGCCAGGTTCATTAGCACAATCGATCTGAAAGCAGGGTATTGGCAAATACCTATGGACAAGACTAGTAAGCAATATACAGCGTTCACAGTACCGGGACGAGGTCTATTCCAGTGGAGGGTAATGCCATTTGGACTTACTACGGCACCAGCAACATTCCAACGAGCCCTGGATACCATCAAAGGGCCAGAAATGGTGCCGTTCGCGTTCGCATATCTGAATGACATCGTGGTAATTGGAAGGAATAAGCGGGAGCACCAGAAGAAGCTGCAGGAGGTACCGATCAAGGAATACTGACGGACCCGGGGAAGGTAGCAGCCATAAGGGAGTTACCGACGCCAAGCACAACAAAGGAGGTCCACAGCTTTTTGGGAATGGCGTCGTTGTACAGGAAATTTATTCCGGGTTTCTCAGAATAGGCGGACCCGCTCCAGGAACTGATAAGAAAGGGGAAAACATTCGACTGGCAACCCCGGCTCCAAGAAGCATTCGAACGAATAAAGACCAGCTTAACGCGGGCGCCAGTGCTGGCTTGCACGGACTTTACTAGGCAGTTCGTATTGCAAACAGGCGCTAATGACTCCGGGGTAGGTGCAGTACTGACCCAGGAGAGCCCAGAGAAGGAACGAGAGATAGCATATGCGAGCAGGAAGTTAAACAAACCAAAACGGAACTACAGCGCCACGGAAAAGAAATGTCTCGCCATATACTGGAGCATCCACAAGTACAGGAGGGCTACAAGTTCATAGTGGTAACCGATTATCAGGCCCTTAGATGGCTAAATTCGATCGAAAGCCCCTCAGGTAGAGTGGCAAGATGGGCATTAGGCTTACAATCGTTTCAATTTGAAGTAAGATACCTCAAGGGAAAACTAAGCGCCGTGGCAGACGCATTATCACGCCCACCGCCGGTTGAGATAAAAGTGGCAAGAACAGGACTGGAATGGCTGGAAGAGAAATACGAGAAAACGAGGGATATAGGATCGAGGGAGTCCGATTGTATAAGCAGGGCACCAAAGAGAGAGACCCTACTCCCTGAACACTGTGCATCACCAGAGAAGAAGTACAACCGGTGTTACGCGAGAACCATTGCCAAAAGACGGCAGGCCACCTTGGGACATTTAAGACACTCAGGAGGATCACAAAGCAGTATTTCTGGCCTGGTAAGAAGAAGGACATCATGAACTTCGTGAAGGCGTGCGAGACCTGTCAGCGGTACAAGGCATCGCAACAACAGACGGCGGTAAAGATGCTGACAGGGATCGTTGACGCCCTGTGGGTATGACGCCCAAGTAGGCGCATAAAAATGGATAGTTAAAAAGATTATGGAATTAATGATAGCGTTAAGGGAAATCATGAAGTCAAAAGTTATAGGTTGTTTTGTAGTTGTAAGAAGAAACCTGAAGTACCGTTTTATTACGATTATTAGTTATGAATAAAACATAATTTTGAATTAGAATGCGCGGGCGCGCCTTGATAACAACGGACGGTCATACTTCCGGGCCCGACAAACGGGCACACCACACGAAGGGATTTCCGAGAACGGGCACACCGACTTCAGCCACAGGGTATATAAGGAGGACTGGTTTCTTGGGAAGAGTGGATCTCGCTCAGGTAAGATCAGCCCTCTCTCGCAGTTGGGCACCCTCACCAGCATTAGTCACTTTTGGTCGGATTTAGCCTAGGGCTAAATATAATACATTCGACCTAGGTCATACCGAGGGAGCACTGCCATCGGCCGCTCGATGCACTGGATCACTGCCGGCTCTCTTGCAACAACCTCACCAGGGCTTTGCATTTCTCACGCGTCGGACCCCAAGGGCCTCGCGTCATCTCTCGCAAGAGTCCCACAGGGGCTTTGCATTTCTCACGCGTCGGACCCCAAGGGCCTCGCGTCATCTCTCGCAAGAGTCCCACACGGACTTTGCATCTCTTACGCGTCGGACCCAAAGGGCCTCGCGGCATCTCTCGCAAGAGTCCCACAGGGGCTTTGCATCTCTCACGCGTCGGACACAAAGGGCCTCGCGTCATCTCCTCGCAAGAGACCCACAGGGGCTTTGCATCTCTCACGTGTCGGACCCAAAGGGCCTCGCGTCATCTCTCGCAAGGGACCCACAGGGGCTTTGCATTTCTCACGCGTCGGACCCCTCGGGCCTCTCGTCATCTCTTACCAGAGACCCACTGGGTTTCTATTCATTCTTTTTCATACCGAACCCCAGGGTTCCTCTCTCTTTACATTCACACTCGCTCTCGTGACTGGCTCCCGAGCCGGCACACGCTTCATCGTTTCTATTCTTCTTTCCCTTTCTAAGCTAGCGGATCACCAAGACCTGGCCTGGCAGCTCTCCCTCCCAGGCCTACAGACCGCCCACGTCGAAGACCAGCCGATCCCTGTTAATCAACTCTGTAACCGTCGATATGAAGTAAACAACTAAAATCTGTTCTATCCTTAACAAAACAAGCTGCGTCATACTCTTGGTGGAATCTTCTTTCAGCAACCACGCCTGACATCAAACTAAATGTTGGAACGAACTGCTGGTATCCGGTGAACTATCCCAGCCACCCCAAAGCAGGACCGTTACATGGCGTTATAACCATTTTGGAAGCAAATCTGTTTAAATTACGTCGATAATCCTCTTGACCTTCAGCATAAGCAACGTTTCGGGCACAAAGATCATTATGTTTCTTCTTTTCTTCGTGCTTCTTACACATGTCTTCGCATACTTGCTTGCACGATATCTGGAAGGAATTCTGCCAGTTGAACTTTATTGAGCGATAATCTAATATGTCGATCTTGAGGTCACCATGTGCTGACTGAATGACATTTAGTATGGGCTTGTTCCATTGAATGTATTGAAGATCTCAGTGTACAACATATCCTGTTCAAAGCTTCGTCCCAATCTTTCTGGTCAGGTCGTAGATACTCTCTAATGGCTGATATGACTGGGCGATTTAAGCGCTCTGTCGGTAAGAATATAATTAATTCTATATCCTTGCATTATTCCTTGAAAAACTTTGAAACGAAATTAAGACCCGTTGTCCGACACTAAGGGTTTTGGGACTCCAGAAGTCATAATCAACTCGTTATCCAGAAACATTGAAAACAACGCTAGAATCAATCTTTTTACAGGTTTTAAGAATACGTATTTTGAAAAGTGATCGAAAACGATAAATATACCATTATTCCTTGAAAAACTTTGAAACGAAATTAAGACCCGTTGTCCGACACTAAGGATTTTGGGACTCCAGAAGTCATAATCAACTCGTTATCCAGAAACATTGAAAACAACGCTAGAATCAATCTTTTTACAGGTTTACGAGGATAAGGTCCGAGAAGGTCAATAAAAAAACTTTGAAAGAACCTTTGAGTTTCAGGCGTCTTTCCTAAAGGAGGTCGGAGGACCGAATTACGTGCTTTGGTACACTTGCAAATCTCGCAAGCACTTATATAAGCCCTAACATCTGAAACAAGTCCATGCCAAAAATAATATCTCCTTATTCGTTCAATGGTTTTGTGTACGCCTCCATGAGAGGCCAAGGAACTGTCATGAGCTAAAGAAAGGACTCGAGCCACTAACTCTCTGGGTATACAGAGTTTCCATGCATACTCGTCGTGCATTTGCTCTCTGGTTAGGTGCTCTGCTTTTCAATACTTCTACTTTGAGATCTGAATAATTACGTTTGTTTTATTCTACACCCTTTAGAGAGAGAGAGAGTTAGAGAGTTTTGAGTGCGGTCGCGTTTTCAAATCGCTCCGCTTATTTATCCAAGTTCTCACCGTAAAGAAAAAGTGCAGCCGGCCATCCGGCGTGGAGTATCTGGACACGCATCCTGACATCACCTGGTGGCCAGAAGACCGTGGACGAAACCTGGGAACAGCCCGGAAACTAATCCCCAACAGGTTTGACGACCAGGCAGGGGCCGGTCGTAGGAGACGGCCTCTTCTTGTTTCCCACTCGTTGGTTGGCATAGTTGCTGCCATAATTTTCACCGCGCTTTTCTTTTTTTCAGTAAACACTAAATCAGTGGTGGAAAGCGCTTGCGCGACCAGCTGATTCTAGTGTGCGAAATAGACGGCGGGTGCCATAGCAGTAAGCTTTGGATAGGTTGCATCCAAGCGGATAAGTGCGTGCTGTAGCACGCAGGAAAGTTTAGGGCGGTTCTTTTATTTTAAAATAGTAAAGTTCTCTAAAATAGTAACGTCCGATCGAAGTCCAGCTGGATATTGCGAGTAGGAATATCCTGCGCCGCTCTTTTCCTTCCTCAACATAGTAGCGTCCGATTGAAGACAAGGAGGTTACTGCGGGCAAAGGCCCAAACTTCCTGCAGAACACGCAAGTACGGAATTCCCCAGGCGGAGAAATGGGAGGCAGAGGACCGGGGGCACAACACCTGGGCGCTAGCCTAGGAGCTGGGCCAACCAATAACGGAGGCACGCCTGCAAACAAAGGACTGCAGGCGCCGCCTAATACCGACGGCTTTCACACGCCATTGTCCAGTCTACCAGACTGGGCCAACATGGGAGCTGACCAATTCAAAAAAAAGCAGTGTAATGGCGAGATCGCCGGAACATAAGGTGGAGGGCAGTGGCAAGCAGCCTAGTACCCCACCAGTAGCAGGAAAAGACAGCCCAAAAGCGGAAGAGGAGCAAGGGGATGTGTTGGTACAGCTGACCAGCCTGGGATCGAAGACCAGGGAGTTGAAGAAACTAATGGACGGAAAGCGATCCATCACCAATCCAATGAGGGAGATAGTCGATGAAATTGACTACCTTCAGGGAGAAGTCCTATCGGCGGTACAAAGCATGATCGAAGAGCAGGGAAAAGCCAAGAAGGCTGTGGAAAAAACCTGTGCAGAAATACTCGCGAGCGGCAAGAGACCCAGAGGGCAAGAAACCTGGAAAACGACAGCACTTCCCGCAAAAAAGGCGATGCACAAGGCGCCGGCAAACGAAGCCAGCCAAGGAGGAAATAAGGGGAAACATGCTATGGCAGAGAGCACCAGCAATCCCCAAGAACCTGTGAAGAAACCAGAAGAGTGGAAACAGGTAAAACAGAAGGCACGGAAGCCCAAGGTGCGACCACCACGGAACGATGCGATAGTCATCGCAACCTCCACAGGTGGATCCTATGCGGATATCCTGAAAACAGTTAGGACAGAGCCTCAACTGAAGGAGCTAGGACAAGCTGTACAGGCCGTGAGGCGCACAGCTAAAGGGGAACTATTAATCCTACTAAACAAGGTCTCCGACCCTAAAACCGCTGAACTCCAGACCACAATGAAAGCGGTCCTGGGTAGAAATGTCGACGTCAGAGCGCTGACTGAGACAATGCTGATCGAGGTAAAGGACATAGACGAGATCACCGACAAGACGGACGTCTTATGCGCGGTTAAATCCCAGTTTGATGTGGAACTGCCAGAATCCGCGGTGGTAGGATTAAGGGCGGCATACGGAGGCACCCAAACCGCCACACTAAGAGTAATGCCTGACATAGGAAGACGGCTCCTGGAGAAGGGCAAAATCAGGCTAGGATGGACCTGGTGCAGAGTCCGCCCAAAGATAACACCCAAAAGGTGCTTTAAGTGTATGGAGTTTAACCATATAGCAGGGAACTGCAGGAACCAGGAGGACTGTTCGAAATGCTGCTACAATTGCGGCGCAAAGGAGCACCAAGCCAGAGGCTGCAAAGCAAAGGCCTGTTGCAAGGAGAAAGACTGCGAACACCCAACAATGAGTGGGAAATGTCCGTACTTCAAGAAGGCTATGCAAGGACTCAGGGGCAAATGAAGTTCCTGCAGATAAACCTAAACCACTGCGAGGTTGCCCAGTCGTTGCTAGAGCAAAGTGTCACCGAACAAAACGTAGACATGGCACTCATAAGCGAGCAATACAGGAATAAAAACTCCGGAGAATGGCTAGCGAATAATAGCAAAAAATCGGCAATATGGAGCTGCGGAAACCCAATGCGCCAGATTAGCAGGAAGAAAAGCGGAAACTGTTTCGCGAGGGCTCATGTGAATGGTATAGCTTTCTACAGCTGCTACCTGCCCCCAAGCCTTACCCTTCCACAGGCAATAACTGCGCTCGAAGAGATTGCAGAAGACGCCCGGGAAAATCGTCCCACCGTAATTGCCGGAGATTTCAATGCATGGGCCTCGGAGTGGGGATCACCCCGGACCAATGCGAGGGGAAAAGCGCTACTTGAGAGCTTCGCCGCACTTGACCTAGTACTGCTTAACTTTGGAACGAAACCAACCTTCTCCAGAGCCGGCACCAATTCCATCATTGACCTCACATTTGTGAGCGCTGGATTGGCACCATGCAGCAATCATCTGCACGATAAAGTCTAGAAATAGCCCAACACGAGTTCCAAAAACCGTGTCAGGGTACAAAGTATAAACGCTAGACGCGGAGATGATACAGATGTTGTTCGAGGACCTCTCTACAAGCGGCTCGGCTGAAGAAAGGGCAAACCACATAGCGGACTATACCAGGCTAGCCTGCGACGCATCTATGCAGAAAAAGAGGAAAAACCCTTCAAAAAGAAGACCCGCATACTGGTGGAATCGTGACATTGCGGAAGTCAGGAAAGAATGCCACAGGGCAAGACGTGCGTATCAACGATCAAGAGGAAGGCCCGAATTTGAGACCCTACAGATTGATTACAGGGAAAAAAGACGAGCCCTGGATAACGCAATAAAAGAGAGCAACCGTAGGTGCTTTAACAGGATATGTGATGAAATAGACTCCAACCCAAGGGGCTTCGCATATAAACTCGCCACTAAACGGCTTCGGGTATACAGCAGGCCACCGCCGACATGCCCAGCCAGTCTAAGAAGGATAGTGGAAATACTATTCCCTATGCAAGTGAGCACGGCGCGAACGCCACCTACCGGAAATATAGCGAGCATAAAGCCCACAAGTGCCGAAGAAGTCCTCGGAATACTAGAGAAAATATTGGATGACAAGGCACCGGGACCAGATGGAGTTCCGAATAAAGTCCACAAAATTGCAATTAGGGCAAATACAAAAGTGTACGTTGATATGTATAACGCTTGCCCAACGGAAGGAGTGTTCCCCAGACGCTGGAAAACACAGCGGTTGGTACTCATACCAAAGGGTGACAAACCGGTGGAGGAACCTTCCTCGTACAGGCCGCTATGTATGCTGGATACGGAGGGCAAAATTCTGGAAAGAATAATCCACTCCCGGCTGGAGGGTGCCCTTGCCGAAACCAACGGCCTCTCCGAGAGGCAGTACGGCTTTCGAATGGGGCTATCAACCATCGTCGCCGTCGGCAAACTGTCCGAAATCACTGATAAGGCCATTGAGGGAAAAAGGTGGTTGTACGGAAATAAGCAGTATTGCATAGCGGCAACTCTGGATGTTAAAAATGCATTCAACTCGGCTAGCTGGCATCATACACTAAATGCACTGAGGAACCTAAGCGTCCCAGCGTATATACAGAAAGTAATATCGAGCTATTTCGAAGACCGCCTGCTACTGCACGAAACAGAATCCAGGCAGGCAACTCACATGGTCACCGGGGGAGTTCCCCAAGGATCAGTCCTTCGCCCTCTGTTGTGGAACGTCATGTACGAAGGCAGGTAGAACGGCGGCCGCGATTTCGCGAATCATGGCGAACACTCGGGGACCGAGGCAACCAGGACGCAGATTACTTGTTAGCATTGTCACATCGACGCTGAAGTATGCTGCTCCCATATGGGCCCGAGCCACAAAAAATGAAAGCCACAGGCAGGATGGCGACTCTGTACAGAGATTGTGTGCCCTGCGGGTATGCTGTGCCTTCCGCACGGTATCCTATGACGCGGCAATGGTAATAGCGGGAATCATACCGATTGATCTGTTAGCAGAGGAATCTGCCAATATCCGCGCAGGTAGCACAGGGGTCGTCAGTGGCAAGAGAGGTGGGTAAATAGTAGCAAAGGACGATGGACGTATAAGCTCATCCCAGATCTGCAGAGATGGCTGGGACGTAAGCATGGACATGTGGACTACTACTTAACGCAACTTCTGACAGGACACGGGTGCTTTAAATACTATCTGAATAGGTTTAAGCATGAACGCTATCCGCACTGCCCACTCTGCGAGTCGGCTAACGAAGACGCAGAACATGTTTTTTGATCTGAGCATAAGGGTTGGGAGGACGCCAGTCGCTTGTAACCTGGTGGAAATTATGCTTGAATCTGAAGTAAATTGGTCCGCTGTAAGCAACATGGTCACGATAGTACTCAAAAAACTACGCATCGCAGAAAGACTGCGAAATTCCAATAGGATAGAGTCCTAGAGAGCCCTAAGGGCAATCCCCCCCGGCGAAGTAATACCTAACGGCAATACCGGCGGGGAAGCGGTGAGGGGGTGGAGTTTTTACTGGGTTAGAGTCCCAGACTTCGGCAAGCTAACCCAGCTCCGAGTTGGCTTTCGAGGCTTTAAACCACCACTAATCAAAAAAAAAAAAAAAAAAAAACACCCTTATCAATTCAATGTACTCAGGAGATTTGATGCTTCTGAGTTCAGGTCGATGATAAGGCCTTCCGCCAAATCTATGGCGGCGACTGTCCCTTCATTTACTCTAGACAACACGTCACGAACTACATTTAGCGAGCCATTGCGATGCTCTATCTCAAAGAAATATCTTTGTAGTGCTAATTCTCCGCAAAAGAAAGTTGGTAATAGCCGCCACCTTTTCTGGATCGGTTCGAATTCCGCCGTCACCTATTATGTGACCCAAATAGACACGCCGCATACAGAAATGACTTTTGCCAATGTTGAATGTCAAACCTGCACGGTTTATGTGAAGAGCTAGTTCTCTGAGCACTTCGAGATGACCTCCAAAACTATCTGGAACTATTAGCAGATCATCCAAATATATAAAAACTTAATTTCTCAAAAGAGCTGGCACTAACTTAACTATCGGTAACAATGTTTTGACCGTCGACACCCATCATTCTTAAATAAAATTATAATGGAACAAAATGCAAAAATAAAAATCAAATAAAGTTATTGATAATCTGAACCCTTAGCTTGATGTTCTCGTCCCAAGGATATTTAATTTAATTTAGTTTTCTAAAATTTTTCGAAAGTATTTCGACTTTGGCAGAAATTCTTTACTTTTGGCTTAAAACTTTTCTGAAATATACTTCTTTCTTTCTTAATAGGCATTTTTAAACGGTGTACCCTTACACTCGTATTCCGGCAAAAATTATTATTTTCTTCCAAGGGCAAAAATAAAAAGAGTTTAGAAGTAGAAGTTTAGAAAAAAAATGTAGAAAAGTATTTGAAGTAGAAAAGGAATGGAAATATTCCTAGAATTTACCCTTTCGCGAGTCTTAATGAACTTGAACTTCACTAAGGCCAACACGTTGGGCGCCTCTTCATCCGGCTCTGGGTCGACGTCTTTGGGGGTGCTGGTCTTGCTTGCACAATTCCTTATATCATCACACCTTCTTATCAGTAAAAACAAGAATTGAGCGTGCTTGCGACAAAAAAAAAGAAATGAAGAAATTTCTTAGGTGCTGGTATGCATAAACCGGAAGAACTGAACGGACAAATTCTAGAAAGGATAGTTTAGAAGAATAGAAAGAGAGAAATTAAACGTGACTCTGCTGTCACTGTGTCCGCGATATGCCCTACCCTAAAAAAAGAAAACGCTATCTATAAGATACCCGTTACTGTTTTACACAATTTTAAAATATTAATTTTGCTATTGGAGATTCACAAGGCGTCACCTATTGTCAGAGGAAGCATGTTGAGTGATTGATAGTGAGACCTTATAACCTAAATTTCTTCATAAATAGCGAAATAATGTTTCGATTTAAATAATCTTTGGTAAATCTATAGATATTAGCAGAAATAAGTTATAAAATTCATAATAATATTATAGACCCCACAGTTTTCGGCGGTTTGTGGGCGTGGCCGAATGAAACCTCGTGGAAAATTGCAGTGGTATCTCTATAATTTTTGCATTTTTGGGTTTGCTTGATCGGAAAAAAACCTACATCCTTAATCCGAACTCTGTATCACTTATAGTTACCGAGATATCAGCTTTTCTAGAAAATACGAAAACCGTTATTTGAGCTTGGTGGGCGAATGGGTGGGTGTGGCCGGATAATAGTACCACTATAAGATGCGCTGGCATCTAAAGATTATACATACTGAATTTCAACTTTCTAGCTAATATTTCCTGCGATTTAAGTTTTTCGCGATTTGTGGGCGTTAGATAGGGCTACCAGGATGCCACTTGCGTTGCGTATGGACCTCAAAAGTCTTCATGGTTAATCTCAACTTTGTATCTCTTATAGTTCCTGAGATCTCAGCGTTCATACAGACAGACTGACAGACGGACGGACAGACGGACATGGCTCAATCGACTTCGCTATTGATCCTGATCAAGAATAGGGTCGGAAACGCTTCCTTCTACCTGTTACATTCTTTTCAACGAATCTACGTATCTCGAAAAAATTAGAAAATATTAGAAAAACCCAACTCACGTGGTACTCTCCTCGGCGAAAGATTGATCTCCCGGCGCAAGCGTGCTGGAATAAAATTTTTTTGGGCTTGTCCCATAATTTCAGGAGATAGTATTTATATATTTAAATTTTTGTATTTTTTCTTTTACACTCCGTGCGGGACTAAATCACTGTTATATTTATACCCGTTACTCGTAGAGTAAGACGGTATGGTATAGTCATTGAAAAGTATCTGACAAGTAGAAGGAAGCGTTTCCGACTCTATAAAGTATATATATTCTTGATCAGGATCAATAGCGAAGTCGATTGAGCCATGTCCGTCTGTTCGTCTGTCCGTATGAACGCTGAGACTAAACGCTTAACTAAAAGAGGCAAATTTTGCATATGCTCAGACTCACTCTCTGCCATCGACGCAATATAAAAAATACTAACAAAAGCGAACTATATATCTCAAGGGCCCGTAACCTTCTACAAAAATACCTGGAAACAAACTTGCAGACGCCTTAGCAAAAAACGCTACAAGACAACCACTTACAACCAAAGAAAACTTAACCACACAGGACATATTAAAATATATTAAAAATACATATCTCTCGAAAATGCAATTAAACATATCCAAAACTTCACGCTGGTACCAAGCGATTAATCATCCCCAACTCAACTGCCACCAAATTACCAAAAACATTCACTCATCGGTCACATATAGAGAGCAGATAATAATAACAAGGCTCAGGCTTGGACACACAATAATTACATATACACACTATATGGACCCAACTGAAACCAGGACTTGTCCGTTCTGCAATGATACCAACGATGCCTTATCAATTAATCATTTACTGACTAACTGCAAGTCCCTA